AAAAAAAAAAAAAAAAAAAAAAAATCCAAACACTAAGCTCTCAAAAGCCCTCTGACTACTGAGCTACCTAGACTTTACATATACTACTACTGTGAGTTTGTGCACAAGGTGGCAAGTCCAGCAGGGCACCCAAGGTCATCATCATCATCAGAAATCCTGTGGCAGAAACGGAGCACTGGACCCATGTTATGTGGGAAGGGAAAGATCAAAGCGGGTCCAAAGTGGGCTGGAAGCACCCACAGAGGAAGAGGCTGCAAATGTCTGGAACTGATTGTGCTACTAGAAGATACCCCTAAGATGGGAGTCAGTTCTGGAAGACATGAACTAGGTCTTTTTTTTCCCCTCTTTTTTCATTCCAGGAATCAAACTTAGGGACTTGTGCTTGCTAGCCATGTGTTGCAACACTGACCGACATCCCTGGCCTGAGACATGGATTTGGGAGGCACTAGCTGCTAGATGAATATAGTTATGGAAGTATAAATAAAATCAAGAGGACACAGAAGAGAAGGCCAAGGAGAGAACTCTTGGGGACTAAATTCTCAATGCATTCTGCATTGAGAGGTTTATAGAGGAAAAACCAGCCAAGAAGACTAGGAAAAAAATACAAGAGAAAATGAAAAATTTAAGAAGTATGGGAAGGGCCCGCCAGATAGCTCAGTGGACTAAAGCGCCTGCTTAGGCAGAGTGCAGCAGCGGGGGTTCAATCCCTGGCATGCCATGCTGGCCCTGCCCCTAGGGTGTGCTGAGCAGGTGACTGAGACTGGGCATAGTAGCGCATGCCTGTAATCCCAGCGCTTGGAAGGCTGAAAACAGGAGAATAGCTAAGAGTCTGATCTACATAATAAGGCCCTGTAGACCCTGTACGAAAGGAAGTGGTTTGAGCAGATGGGAATGTTCAGACACGCTAAATACTGTGGGCCAATGGTGGACCATGGATTTTGTAAGATGCTGTCCTTGGGAGGAAGAATTTTAATAAAAAATTACAGAGAATGAGGCAATCAACGGGAACAGGGCATAACAGTAGTAGCACAGCAATGACCCAGCAGAATGGAGAAGTGGCCTATCAGGTATTTGCCCAGAGAAGAACAAGGGGCCTGGGATCCTCAGCTTAAGTAGAGAGGTTTCCCACTGGAATAGCCTGTTCCTAGGAGGGCAGACCACACAGGTATAGGTTGGCTGGAGGGTTTGGTGGTGGAAAGATGAGGTAATTCTCAGCTGATTGCATTTATTTTCGCCTGACCTATTAGGACAAATTAACTGCAAAGGAACCAATTTCAGGGAAAAAAACAGGAAGTATTTTTTCTCAAAAGTGAAAAAGTTGCACTTGGGAGGCTGAGGCAAGAGGATCATTGTGAATTCCAGACCAATCTGGGCTACAAAGTGAGCTCAAGGCCAGCCTGAGCTGCATGGCAAGACCCTGTCTCAAAAAGACAAAAAAGGGGCTGGCGAGATGGCTCAGTGGTCTAAAGCACCTACTTGGAATAAGCTTGGCAAAGCACAGGGACCGCGGTT